CAAGTTTCCAGAGAGAGAGATTAAGCTCCAGGGAATTCAGTTACCAAACTTTAAGTCAGTTTGTATCCAGCCAGCCTTTTTTGCAGTGTAGGAAAAAAAAAAAATCTCTTTACTTTGTTATTAAAACTACTTAGCGTTTCATCTGTGCTCTGATAACAGTTGGGAGTTGGAACAGGTTTTTTGCTCCTTCTAATCAGAAGGTGGTCTTTAATGAGCCACTGTAAAAGCTACAGGAATTGTTTAAGATCACAGCAGAAAAGGTGTTTGTTCAGACACATGACTTCTCATATGAACTTAATCCACTCACATTTAAGATTTGTGTTTACTGCCATACTCAGAGGATGTTTCCATTCCAAAAGCTGCTGAAACCGTCACTCTTGTTGGAGCAACTGTAATTCCCCTTAGGCAAAGCTCTAAGCAGTGCCTCTCTCTCTAATCTCTCTGTTACCACTATCACTCAGTCAGAGTGTTGTAGGTGAAGTTACACAAGAGATGTGTCACTTCTACCACTCTCTTTAAAAAGGGAGTATGTGACCATTGCTTAATCATCTTGATGTCTCTCAACATTGTAATACTCTCCACTCATCTTTGTCCAGGTACTAGCGTTGCTGTCTGTATCTGTCAGTAGAAGCAGTTGACTACGTGGTTGGCTAAAGAAGGCTCTGATTTTCAGAACAAAACTCTGTCAAGCTGCCACATGCTAAATGAGTAAGCCTTGCAAAAGGGGGATTACTTCTAACTGTAGCCTATTTGTTTCAAAATCAGGTTACAAAAAACTGAAGCAAGTGGAACAAGCAAAGCAGTTAACAGATTAATTAATTATTTATATAATCTGGGATCTTAACATGAGATTGCAACAACATCCAAGACTTGTTTTGCAGAATTTAATTAAATTCTCTCCAGCCTACCATCATGTATTGTCTCTATTAAGGGAGTCAACACACATGTTTCTCCTACTGAGTGAGCACTAACCCTGGAGAACTAGTGGTACTCAGCCAGATTATTACATTGTCAGAGTTGTTGGGTTCCTAAAACATTACGACAACATGACAAATCCATCGCCTCTGAAGGGGATGAAGAACCTATGCTATACAGGAGCATGGAACAGGACTAGACAATAGAAACCCTTTTTCAACACATGAGGTAGACAATAAAAGGTGAGATAAGCTGCAGCTGTTCAAGAAGTCCTTACTACACTCTACACAGGCAGCAAAAGCATTCTACTAGGTCTACTTCATATTTATAGGAAAAGCTTCACCTTTCATTAGTGCCATTAAGGCCACATCATAAATACAAGTTCTATTTTGTAGATGGCTGTGTGATGTTTCAAAGCCTTCCCCACAGCTCACAGTGCTCTAGAGAGCTGTTCTGCATCAGAACAGAACTGGTAACTGCAGAATGTGCATAGCTACATCTAGCTGCAGTAGAACAGTTGAAGAAAGTATGCACACAGCATCTGGGCTCACGCACAGGGAAAGAACAAGTCATTAACAAAACACTGCTCAGTACATGCCAGCCAAATCTTTATTCCAGCTTTTTCCATTGCTTTATAACAGCAAACACAACTATGTTCCCCTATGGAGAAAAAAAAAAAAAAAGACTCCTGCCCCACAAAATAAGATACCCTCAACTTTTCTTAGAGAAAAGAAAAAACAAAAAACACTTCAGAAAGGAACTTTTCAAAAAGCAAACATCAGAAAGCAGTATTGTGCAACACAGTAGCCTATACAGCAGCTTACAAGAAACCTTTGTTCAAGAACCACCCACCAACAGCTAGATGCATTAGCGCATGCATACATTCAGTAAGGAATGTCAGGCAAATTCTTTCTTAAGAAAGTACATCTATAAGAAGCCAAGCTGACAGTAACAATCTACCAACAAGCACTATTCCTTGACAGGGAAGTATGGCAGTGACAGGCATTTGCTCAGTTAGGTAGAAGGAATGTTCAATGCTTTGCTTGTATTCTTGTTCCCATGAAAACACATTTTCATGGGAATGTTTGTGTACAAGGTACTTGTTCAGCTTCGTGTGGTGAACATGACACTTGGTTTCATGAATGTTGGAGGACATAAGGATCTTCAGCTAAATCTGAACTGCAGCCAGTTTGCTTTTCTACAGGGAATAAAAACAGATTACACCCATCAAGATGTTTATAGTAACTTGCATAAATGCATTAATATCTAAAGTCATAGCTCTGCAAGGCTTCAGACTAAATGTCATCAACATGTTGGACTGTATTAAAACTTATCCACAGTTATGGTAACAGGATAAGGAGTTGAAACAGAGCTGACCAAGGAGATGAAACAAGGAGCGCTCCCAGATTACAGTTATGAGTTCTGGCCACTCTGTCCCTCAGTGGGCTTAGCATAAGCCACTGCAGGAGATTTTCCACTCTGTGGATCAGGTACCTTCTACTCAAACTGCCTTTTCAGGCAGCGGCCCACGTGTGCAGCAAGGTCCAGTTCTGTGCCACATGGTTGCATGATCTTAGCTCATGTTTTCTGCACTGTTGCTGAGAGGGTACACATGCTAATACCATGCAAAGCATTCAAAGTATTCAAGAACACAGACAGTGGGCAAATTTGGACAATAATAATTAGCAACCAAAGAGGGGGGAAAAAAAAATGAAGTGGTAAAAACTGTAAAAGTATTATCAAAACCGGAAACAGCAAGATCAAGAATAATCCTGCATTTGAATTGATGCAACTGGGGGAGGATTTGTAAACTCACCAGTTCAACATTTTAATCAAGTACTTTTTTGCCCAACAGGTAACTAGATCTCTGTTGCAGGCTTCATTATTTGTTACCCGTAAACCAGTCAGCTTTCAGTACAGTTGCACTGAAATACAATTACCAATTCAGTCACTGAAAACACAAATGCTATCTCTGCTTAAACTTAGTTCAGTATCCATCAGGCAACCACTGGTCAAACACAGGAAGAAGTTTCCCAGAGAGGTTCTTGGAGTCTCTGTCCTTGGATAGATACCAGACCTGAAAGGAAGGTCCCAAGCAACCCAGCCTAGCTGACCTTGCTTTGAGCACCTCCAAAGGTCCCTTTCAACCAGAACTGCTCTGTGATTCCACAGATTATAGAAATAGTCTATAATCAGAAAGAACCCGTACTATTTTCTTTGGTAGACAGAAAAGTTGGTCACCAGTAATGCCTCAAACTGTAAGTAGCAATAAAGATGCACTATTCACAAACTATCCTTACAACAACTAAGATGGTATTATTATGGGTTTAGATTTATAGACCAAGTTCTACTAAGGGATTGAGGCATTCAAATCACAAACTAAAATGCTTAGTAGAGTCTGCCTGGCAGTCACTCACCTTGCCTCAGAAACGTGAGCAAGAGTAGCATGCTGGTGGCCAATTCTCAAAACCCTACCAAAAAAGTCTGTAATTTAGATGTACCACCCCAGCTTGTCCAAGAGACTCAATCCACTAGCACTAGGTTGAATAAATACTAAATTAATTTCTAATAAAGACAGAGTAGCAGCTTTCATTGCATGTATTCACCATTAAACTGACAGTATATAAGCAAATGCTACTAAGAAAATTACAACAGTATTAGAGTAAACACGCAAGCTCAAAAAAAAAAGTGTTTCAACTGTATTTTCTAAAATAAAGCATTTTCTAGAAAATTGGAAAGCATCAAAACACCAAGTACACAACCTCTTTGGGAGGCTGAAGGTTATCTTACCTTGAAGTAAGGACGATTCTGGTAAGGACTGCAAGTTTTCTGTTGTAGAGCTTATTGCCTAAACAAAATGGGATTCTGTTAGGAAGCTGGCACTACTGCCAAGATAGTTCTCCATTGAGATGCTTTCTTTAATACTAGACTAACTTTTTACATCAGCACTGCTGGACTCATTATCACTGCTTTTCCCCCCTTATAACTCACTACAGAAGTCTTCTGCCCACTTTTCGCTTTGATGCAAGAACTGCATGTGAAGAATAAACTGGAAATTCATTCTGTTATCATCAGTAGCATGGCTGATGACCTGAATTTTGGTTTCCAAATATGAGGGTTTTTTATTTACTAGTATTTCATGAACAATAGTGGTGAAAAATCTATCATTTTCCAGTTACTTTGTAATACAAGTATTTTTCATGATTTACCAGTTACTTACATGCTTTACTAGCATGACCTGTCAAAAACTACATATCAGCACCGTTCTACAGTTCTTGATTAACAGTAGTCTTCCAGTAACATTTCTTCCTTCGACCTGTTTTCATTAATCTATTCCCTGACTGAATTCACAGTCCTCAGGCCAAATGGCTGACAGTTTATATAAAGCTATATAAATACTTCACAGAAATTAGATCAGTTGTATGATGGTTTTATACAAATTTCCATAGTTTCCATAGAGATTTATATAATCTATTAGAGAAGGAAGGACAATATAACATCTTAAAAATAACGTGCTTCTAGCAGTTGGCATGAATGCACAGATTTAGATTAATGTTACTTTGCCTTTCCATTCTCATGATGACACAGAAACAATCACAACTAAACTCAGAGTGTCCTTTCTAAAAATCTTCCCCAGTCCCCTACCACACCACCATACCTCAGATGGTCTGCAAGCCCAGTCAGGAATACCGTTCCAGACATTCTCAGGATCCACAATCTCCTCATTGCCACTGGAGAGATTCAAGACCTGTACAGAAAGACCCAAATCGTATCTAGCCACAGCAGTGGATCCTGAGAATACACTCAGCAAGTAAGACGTAGTAGGAAAATACAACGAGGACTCCCTGCCTTTGAGAAGGCTTTCAGTCTGGATCTTCCAAGGAAGAGCAAGTTAACCTCTAATAAAGCTGAGTATCACTACTGAATCTGCTCAAGGTTCTCCTAGGCTTCTAACCCCAGTACGGCATGAGAGGAAGGCTGGAAAACACCTACTATATCAGAACCAGTGGGAAACTGGTGAATAGGGGGTATCACTGCCTACTTGACACTGACACTCATCTGAATACAGCTGAGGTTAGCTTTAGATACCCAAGGGGTCTACTAGCAAAAGAGTTGGCTTCCATAATTTCAGGCACTCAATCTTCAAAAAAGTTACTTTTACAAAATGATCTTTTGGATTTGCAATCTTGAGTTACAACTTAAAGGCCCTTCTATGTAAGTGTAATATCCGTGCATATGTATACATACACACACACACACTCCCTGTGAACTGGAGAAAGGCTTCTCATTTATCCCAAAGCTTAAATGACAGTAGAACAAAGCAGCCCATTACATTACAATCAAATATTAAAGTTAGCTCCCACAAACCACTAATTCAACAAAGACACCTATTTCACTGAAGTAGAAATAGTTGTGTATTCGTTTTTAAGTACAGTATGATTTAAGTTTCCTCTCAAGTTTCTACCGTAACACTAATGTCTCAAAACATCAGTAAAATGATGCCAAGTTTCATGAGCATTTAATGGTAACACAACTCCATAACAGAACATTAACTTGCAGGCCAGACAGAACTGCACGTATATCACCGTGTATCTCAAACTGGTGCCAGATCCTTCAGTCTTCCCAGTCAATGCAGGGGAATAAGACGTCAAGCGAGTATCAAGTACTGACACATAGCATCCACTCGGTTTCAGACACTGCTGTTTCTGTGTAGTCTGTAAGTCCAGAATCAGCCTTTGCAACACTAAGTCTTAAGTTCTGTAATAGGCTTCTGTAAAATAGTCAAATTTTTGAAGACGACCAAAGGAGGACCGGATCTTAAAGAGTGCAGGAAGAGTATTCAAACCATACTTACCCTGGTACCTTTTTCAGATACCTCCAAAATGCGAGCCTCACACCATTTCAGAGAGGTCCACACCACACATTTGGAACCGACAGCAAAGCCCTTCAGATTACAAGTATACTCACTGTGTTCTACAAAACATGATCACGTATCAATGTAGGAGGGAAAAAAACACAAACACAACCCCTCAAAAAAACTCAAATGCCTCACAGCCCTCCTCCCATAACCCCCCAAAATACTTCTACTTAAGAAGTATTTGAAAGTTAAAAAAATCTGTCATCATGAACTGTCTTGAAAACACGTTTCACATTCAGAAATAGATTTCCAATCATAAAATCATTAACCTCTCAAAGTAAGATCAGTTGCTCTTAAGACTGTCACATTATCCATGAGATACTACACTTAGTTTGATGTCCATAACCCATCAAAGCATACTATGTTAGTGTTAACATTAGTTAACTTATTAGGGAATAAAAATTAGGTTTCTACAAGAAAGCTATTCTCATGCTTGAGTGTGCACAACATTTTGATTATGTAACTCCTTAAAATCAGATACTTTACCTGCACTGCAGTGATCCAAGTTCTTGTTTTGCTTTTTTCCTACTTCTTCATCCTCAGGTTTACAGTCTGAAGACTGCACACGTGTATTTCCACATTCTTTAAATGAGTCAGCCATGTCTTGTTTCATCCATTCTTCCACGTAACGGTCATCTTTCTTCTTCTGCCACTCCTGACGTTTCTCAGCTTTGCAGTCACATGACTTCACAGTGCAAACAGGCCTCTGATTCATTAAGTCTTTTGTAAGAAATGAAAAATGACTTCCACTATTTGCAGAACTTTGCCGTGCAGCATGTTCCAACCCTAACAGGTCCTCCCTCCCATCTTCCCGAGATGGCTGCACATCAGGAAGCACCAGTTCTAGAAGCTGCTCAATCTCAGCACCCAGCATTGACAGCATGTCATGGGTCTTCAGATCCAGTTGTTTCTCAGGTCTACCACCAGATGAAGACAGCCTTAGGGGAGGAGGTTCTACTTGCATCCAATCTTCTGGTACAGTGTCTGCTTTATGAACTCCAGACAAATTCAATTCCAGTTTCTTTGCCTTCTCTCCCAAAGCAAGCTGAACATCAGACAGAATCAGCTCTACTGTCTTCTGTCCATTGCTAACTGAAGGCACCAAGTTCTCTCTCTCATTAAGTGATGGGAAGTTTTCAAGGAATTTCAGAGCTGCCAACTCCCCTGCCTCCTCACTCATAACTGGCAGCTCAAACGATTCTCGTCCCAACATTTTCTCTCTTGCTTCACTGCTCGAAGCAGTCTGCATTTCAAGTGAGACTGTTTCCAGAGCTTCCTTTGTTTCTTCACCAAAGCAGGTCTGCACTGAAAGTGCCTCTAGCTCCCGTATGAACTCTTTTAGATCATCATATGGAGACTGCATTTGCAATTGATCCAGTTCTACCAATGCCCCTGTTTTATCACTTGAAGACGACTGTACCTGGAGCACTGGCAACCTTTGCAGTGGTTCTGGTTTGTTTCCTAGGAAGAGACCGGCTGCTGAAACACTGCCCGTCAGTTCTGCTTTCAGCTCAGCATCCTCTCGAAACGGTACTTCACACAGCTCTTGTTCTGCAGCTTTTGTTTCACTCTCCAAAATATGAAGACTGCAGCTTCCTGTTGGTTCTAGTAATACATTGTTATTGCCCTCTCCTTCAGCTAAAGGTATCTCTTTATCAAAGTTGCTTTGATGCTCAGCTGCTTCACATCCATCATCAGCCTTCCCACACATATACTCAGCAGCTCCCACTGACACATTTGCTTCTACAGTATTTGAGCACCCAGATGTTACACCCAGGAAAGGTTCAGAACAAAGTAAAGCATTTTCACTTTCTTCTTGAGCTAATCCACAAACAGCAGTAGTTTCTCTTCCAAGACAAAGACCAGTATTGTTTGAACATCTGTTTTTCTTTAAAGGGTTCTCAAGGTTTGAGAAAGTGTTGTCACCAGTTCCTTTATTAGCCTTCCAAAAAGACTTCATCTCTTCATTAATACTCTTGCCAGAAGCTTCCAGCTTGACAACAGACAGAAGGACTTCAGAAGCTTTATCTTCCTGAGTTTCTATTATTTCAGCTTCCAATAAGAGGTCTTTGGTCATATCATAAAACTTCTCCTTTGCTTCGCTAAGCCATGAGCCCTCTGAGGAATTGAAACCTGACAGACAGCAAGGAAATGCTTGATTATGTATTGTGAGCAATTCACGTGGAATTTGTCTGACCATCTCGAAGCTAACAGCTTCCTCACTTCCGTAATCCACATGTCTAACAACTATGTTGTCACCTTTTATGCTGCTGATTTTAGCTCTGTAGAACTTTCCATCTTGACTATATTTTGCTAGACAAATATCACTGCTTTTAATACAAGATCTGCAATCATTCAAAGAGTTTAGTCCAAGGTTTTCAGCTTCCTCTATTTTTTCCTCTATGTAGTTCATGTCTTCTGTATCAGCACTGCAACTCCAAAAATATTCTGGACCATTTACTACTGTGATGTAAATTTTTACAGTCTGACCTGCCTCTGGAAACTTCCAGATAAATGATTTCCCATCACTTACACTAGAAATTTCATTGTGTGCCTGAGGCAGCAAAGGCTCACACACCGTTACCATGTCACTGTTCTCGCTATCAAGCTTTTCTGTTGAACAAGATTCTTCCCTACTTGCAAGATTCTCATCGGCTAAATCCACTGTTATTATACCTTGACAGTCACTGAGAATAACTTCCCATTTATCCTCAACCTTCTCTACAAATTCACACATTAGCAGAACTTCACTTGTTCTCCTGGTGAAGTAAAGCACTGCTTTCTCTGCCCAGTCTGAATTTTTTTTGCATTTAACTCCACCTAGGAAGCAGTGAATGCTTATTGCTGGAATAGATGACAAATCTTCAGGGAGTCTGTGTGCTTGATCAACATTAATTACCGAAGTATTACCATAATCAATATATTGTATCATTATCAAATTGTCCGAAGTCTTCTCTTTTACTACAGCTCGATACCACATGCTATCTTCTGAATAAACAGCACTGATTAAGTCTCCTGCTTGGAAGAATTGTCCACAAGGGTTCTTTGCTTGTGTCCTACTGTTTAAGCTTTCTGAAATGCTGTTAAGCTGAGCCTCATCACTTTCTAGTTGAACATAAAAATCCAACAGATCATTTACATGAGACACATACACTGACACTTTAAGAGCTGGCACTACCTTCTGCTGCAGTAGATCAGGTACATTTTTAAGCCTTATACACCTGCCTTCAGCATCAGATTTAATATCTGACTGTGCATCCACCTGGACAGAGATAAGAGACTCTTCCCCTGCTTTATTTAACAAAAAAGCATCCCTCTTACTGCTAAGCATTTCATCAGATTCCAGTAATCCAGCTGCCAGGTCTCCCTTTGCAGCAGGCAAAGATCTGCATTTTTGTCTTTCAGGAGGCGTACCTGCATTTAAAGGGGACTCTGCAGTCTGATTCCTCTCATTCACATCTGTATTTCTAGAGCACGATGTTTCATCTTCTACTTTCCTACACAGTCCTGTATTGTTTATTAAGCTTAACTCCTCCTTCAGTTTTGCATTAATTTGAATATTACCATCAAACAACTCAATCAACAGTTTACCATCAGATTCCTTTGCTACTACTATCGCTTTTAATTGCCTTTCTAGGACGGCTTCTTTAAACCATGTTGTAGCTTCTTTGGGAACATTAGATATATCAGATAAGGAACACTTTATGGCCTGCATTGGCAAAAGCAAAATATCAAAAGCATCACTGGGTAAAGGAAGCAGATGATCTTTCTTTATTGTCTCTGTGTTCCCAAAATCCACAAAGAAGACTTCTGTATTAGGTTTTGTTTTCATTATTACTCCCCTGTACCAGTGATTGTCGGTATACTTTGCTAGACACAAGCTCCCAGACTTCTGCAAGGTTTCTACGCTGGTCATTGTTTCACTTATGCGACCAATGTTATCAGTAAGCTGTGCCAAGACATCTGCGCATCTTTCAAGTTGGCAGTAAAATGTCCATGGATCCTCAACATGTGTAATAAAAATGTCTTCCTCACTCCCAATTTTGATACCGTGCATAGAATAATAGTAAGAATGAAGCTGAACTGAGGATACCAGAGGCTTTTGAGGAGATATAGGTCTGGCCACACCTCTGTCAGTCAGAAACTGGCAAGCACTCTGAAAAGGTGTCATTAAATCTACAATGTTAAATAGTTCCTTATTGTTTATCGAAGCCAAAGCAAATATTGTACACTTCAGTTCAAAGTAAGATGATGAAGTATCCACAAACTCCTGAAAAGCCTGAATCGCTGCTTCATCCCAAACAAAAGGATCCTGACCATTTGGTTGGATTAAGTTGTAAAGACTGCACCTGAAAGCCTGAGCCTCTAACCTAAGAAAGCATTCGTTAGTTGAGCGGAGGTTCGTTAGAGAGACCAGCTCTCTGTTGCCATAGTCAACATATATGACTTCTACTTTTTCTGCAGAAGGAACTTGACTAACTATTAAAGCTCTGTACCATTTTTCATCCTCCGAGTACTGGGCTAAACATACACAATTTGGCCAGACATGTGGAGGGGATGAATTTTTACAGTACTCCTGAATTTCAGCCATTAATACCTTAAGATCATGACAATTTCTACTTAACTGACACCAAAAATAACTAGGATTTTCTACATATGACACCACTACATTAACCGTACTTCCCACTTGCAACTGACCTCCACATGAGGAATTTGGCCTCATTTCCACATAATTATGTCTCCAAAAGATGGGCAGGTTTTCCTTGCCCTCATACTTCTGAGCAGGAGGAGATTCACTACTTTTCGAATTATGAATGGCTGCAACAGGGCGCCCTCCAATGATCACAGACATGTAAGGATTAAGTGCTCTATCATTGCTCTTTACATCAGGTTCTTCTCTGAGTCTCTTTTCTGCATTTATTTGTTTTTCCTCCCCAGCACATGCTGGGGAAGAAGCCTGGCTTACAGCCTTATCAGATGATTTCTGGAGAGTTTCAGGTATTTCACACCTCTGGTATTCAGCATACCCTCCCTGGGCCATGAGTTTACTTATACTTGTCTCTCCTAATTGGGACTGGTCAAAAATTTCAACCATGTATTTGTCACCCCACGCACTCAAAAAATGAACCTTTAGTCCCTTGTTTAGTACAATCTCTCTGAAGGCGGACACAGATGATTCACTCCAACTCCCTCTCAGAGGAGAGACACCTGCCAAACAACACTTCAGAGCTAAAGCAGGTAGTTCCCTGAACCGAGGGAGCAGCTCCCTTACCGCATGCTGATCTACCGTTTCTGTATTGCCTCTATCCACCAGGTGTATTTCTACCCCACTGTCCAGTACCCTGGTGATCACTGCTCGATAAAAGACACCTTCTTTCCCACTGGCACAACAAAGACATCCAGGCTGTAGGTCCCACCCAGCACCATCCAGCTTTGTGGCATGGGAGTAAAAATTCCACATGCTCTGCCTCAGCTGCCTGAATAGCCGGCGATGCTCATGGAGCTGCAGCCAGAACTCAGATGGGTCTCGGAGGTAGGAGACCTGCGCGTCGTAGAATGCACCCAACTTCAGATGTGCACCAATTACAGGAACGGAGACCATATCTCTGTGTGTTAAAGCAACAGGAGGTGCTCCTGGTGGCAATTCCAGTTCTTCAGCTGTTGATACTTCCACTTCCCGCACCTCAGTTTGGCTGACCTGTGTATGGCTACTGACCAGGCAGCAAGCTTGCACCCCAAAAAGATGGTTCAAGTTGATGCCATTTTCCCCATAGAGGCTCACATAATAGAGATGCTCAAAGGAGTTAAAGGCTTTGATGTGAGCACGCACTCCTTTGCCTAGTACCAATGCTTTCAGCTTGTCAATCTGTGATGGGGACCAGCCACAACCCCCATCCGAAATACCCTGAAGAGCACAGGAGTAGGTCACAACTGGCATGCGAAAACACTCAACAGGCAAATGGCGCAGGTTAGCTCTGGTCACAGTCTCCTTCCTACCATAGTCCACAAAGATTACCAGAGCCACTTGCTGCTCCTGCTCCCCAGCAATGAACTCCAGCAGGAGTGCACGGTACCACTGGCCATCTACACCACGGGCAGCACAGGGCGAGCCCACTTTGGGTAACAAGCGCTGCTCCCACCGGTCATAAGTGTGGCGCATGGTATCAGAAAGGCAACGGATCTCCTGGGACAGGCTCTGCAGCTGGCAGTAGATGAGGTGTGGGTCAGAGACATGGGTCACTAGGACAGGCTCTGTCAGACCCAACTGAAGCTGTGGGTAGAAATAATCCAAGGCAGGTGACACAGGCTGATATGAGAGCAAAACATGGAAAAGCTGTGCCACTGCAGAAGATACAAGGGAACATGCTGGAGGCTGCAGCTTGAGCTGGTTCCTTAAGCGGCTGTAAGTTAGGCAGCGCCTAAGCACCTGGTAGAACCAACTGGGAGTGACCTGCCTGGCCAGGCCCAGGTGCTGCATCTGGGCCACCAGCTGGGGCAGCTGAAGCACTATGAGCTGTGGTGTCACCACCTCCTGCACCAGGCCAGACACCTCTTTGCCATGCAGGTAGCTGAGGAACTCCATAGCCTCCACTGTCCAGGTGGAGACTGGCGCATCCCCACAGGCTGCCACCCTGGGGCCTCCACAGGGCATGACATCAGCCACAATACAGCCCAGCACCTCAGGGGGCAGGTGGAAGAGCTCCTTGCAGCCCCGTGCCAGATAATAGGCAGACGTGACGACTGTGCACCCCTCATCAAGGAGGAACACGCGGTAGTCCTGGCCGCGGCGACTCACCACACAGCAGCGGTGCCAGAGCCCGACCACCTCCACCAGGCCCAGGTCTCCAAC